GGTGTGTGTGTGTGTGTGTGTGTGTGTGTGTGTGTGTGTGTGTGTGTGTGTGTGTGTGTGTGTGTGTGTGTTTGTGTGTGTGTGTGTGTGTGTGTGTGTGTGTGTGTGTGTGTGTGTGTGTGTGTGTGTGTGTGTGTGTGTGTGTGTGTGTGTGTGTGTGTGTGTGTGTGTGTGTGTGTGTGTGTGTGTGTGTGTGTGTGTGTGTGTGTGTGTGTGTGTGTGTGTGTGTGTGTGTGTGTGTGTTTGTGTATGTGAGTGTTTTGTCTCTGTGTGTGTGTGAGTTTGTGTGTTTGTGTGTGTGTGTTTGTCTGCGTGTGCGCGTGCGTGTGCATGCGCGTGTTCCTGCACGTGTGCGTTTGCATGCGCGTGTGCGTGTGCGTGCGCGTGCGCGTGCGCGTGCACGTGCACGTGTGCGTGTGCCTGCGCGTGCGGGTGCGCGTTCGCGTGCGCATGTGCGCGTGCGCGTGCGGGTGCGAGTGCGGGCGTTTGTGTGTGGGTGTGGGGACAACGCTGAGGACCAGAACTCGTTTCTTGGGTCTGCTGGATTGAGCGTCATTCTGGTTGGAATTGTCCAGCGAATTTGGATGTTGTGATTCTATCATTGAAACTCATGGCAGAGTTTTGCAAGGCGATGCCGAAACCCACGGTTCCATCGTGGATCGCGCCTCCGTGTGCCAGTTGTGATTTCCAGGCGGGGGCGCTAAGTCCCTACCCTTGGCCGGGTCCACGGCTTTGAACACAACCTTTCCGGAGGTCAGCTTGATCCTCGGTCGAGTTTGTCCAAGTCGAGTTTCCCCCCAAACGAAAAGTTGGATGACCATCAATATTACTTAACAAAAGGGGCCTGCTAGGTACGCAACATGGGAGAGAGGGTACCTTGTTGGACAATGGAATGTTTGTGCCAAAACATGCGCCCTCACAGCTACATGGGAAGTGCACAAACCCAGCATGGAAGACGATACTCCTTCTGGAACGGGAGCATGTGCGCTTCCATGTTTGTTGGTGGCTTCAACCAACCTTTTGGCGCAAAAGAGACCAAAGGCCCATTTTTTCGCCAGGAGCGGCTCTTTTTGGAGCCTTCTTAGAGGTTCTGACCTTTGGAACTTCTGAGATCTTAAAGGACTAAAACCAGATCGAGAAGCCAGCCCTTCTTAGGGACGTAGACGCTGGCTTTCTCCTCCGCGCTGATATCCGTTTTCCTGCTGGACACGGAGCAGGTGAGGCCACCCAAGCACTTACTGGTATTGGTGGGCTCCTGCCCAGGGCAAGCCACCTCCTGAATGAAGCCCCCGTTCTCACAGTCGGCCGTGTACTTCTTCACACACCCGTCCTTTGAGCTTTCCTTCATCACCATGACCCGATTGCTCTCCACGGGCCAGGATTTGTACCGGAAGGTTCCATACTTGCGGTTAGACTCTTGGCCGTCATCGTAGCTCACCAAGAGCCATTCATTGCATAGGTTGGCGCCGGTCTCCGAAACACTGCCGATCCGGGCGGAGTCGGCCAGCGTCAGAAGCGTAGGAAGGATAAAGAGCATTTCGTCAAACAACGCACTGTTCTCTGCGAACGCTTGGATGATATATCTAACCAGCTTGAGCCGAACCGGTCGCTCCGAGTCTTTTAAGAGACCAATATGTCCAAGATGCTCGCCCCTTTCAATCCCATCCAGAGCAACCTCTTCCCTTCAAATCCAAACGTGACTCCTTTCAAACCCTTCCGAGCCAGCGCCAACGCGCCCGTCTTGAGCTGCCGGCGGCCATATGACATCCGGAATCCGGCGAAACCTGCAGCCACCTGGCTGGGGAAAGCAAACGAAGGACCTCCGAAACTCAGGGCTCGAAACGGGTTGGACGGAAATCTCCTGTGTGTCTCTGTTCCAAAGATGTCCCTCACTGGAGAAAGTCGCACCCCTATTGGAGGAATCAAGAAAATCCCCCCACCTCCACTCCATCGCTTGTTGCTTCCATGTGGCGGAGCACCTCAGCTTATTCATAGGAGGGCTGCTTCCCCCTGGGTGGCATGCCCACTGCTCCTTGGTCAAGCCCCTACTGGCAGATTTCCCGCAAGCCGCCGGCAATTTCCTGTGCCACGGGTTTGCCGCACATGTGGGAACTAAGGCGCCCATCGGATACTCATTCAACTCTGGTCCAATGCAGTATATGTGCTTTGAAACTCGGGACAAACGGGGCAGCGGTGGCTGATCCTTGCTGCTGTCTTGTAGACCAATACTGGCTTCGCCTTTCTGGCACAGCTTCCATGTGCTTAATGTGTTGCTGCGGTGCTCTCAATTCATACAGGCCAAGTGCTACACAATCTTCACATCAACCAATGTCCCTTTACGGTTCAGTGACGCGGTGTCAACCAATTTCTGTCCAGCAGTCATCTAGCCGCCCATTTCGCACCAGAAGCACCAGTTCAGTGCATGCCCGGAATGCAAGACATACATAAAGGCGACCCTGGTCAAGCCTCGGCACATCAAAAATGTTGACATGGTTCTTGATCAGTCCTTCGAGTGCCCGGTTTGCCCGGTTCTAGGGGAAGGCATTTCAAACATAATAAAGGTCCCCGCCTGTTTTCCCCATGTTTCATGCGCGCTGTGCTTTGTGTGTGTGTGTGCGAGGCCCATGCCCTTTTACAGTGATTCGGATTGGCAGCTACAGCAGGGTCTGAGTGTAAGCTGTGAGTAAGATGTGAGCCATTGCCACAAGGCATAAACCCAGTAGCACGGCAAGCGCATCTATCCTTTTGAATGTATTTTAAACCCCACGGAGTGGTGTGATTTCCCGTGCCAAGGACGTGTGGGTCGTGACGTGCTCCATGCAATTCCACGTGCACCGCGCCTGGTGGTGAATTTAGCCAGGACGTATGAGAAGGACTAGGCCTGACAGGAGCGATCGACTTGCTGAGAACTGAGTAATAATCAAACCCGGTGTTTAAGGAGTCTACCCAGTACCAATGGAAAAGAATGGAAAGGTATGGCAAGTGCATGGGCACGTGTCTTTGCAAGATGGGTCACCATCTCTTGAACATTCCAGCCCAGTATTTGAAGGAATGCAAAGAGCGCCAATGCGAGGCTCGATCTCCTCAAACATGCAGTGTGATCCATGACAGTGCCATCTGCTTAGGGGACACTTCAGCTGCGGGAAACCAAAGCCGACGCCCCGTTCCCACCGCTGCTTCTCCACATCCACAGCTTCATGGAAGTGCACATCCGCCTTGTGACAAAGGGGATCAACAACAATGGCGGGGAGTTTCCAAGAAAAACGGAACCCATTTCGAAAAGGGACTTGAAAACCCAGCTGAAGCCGACCCATGGGCTTGACTGTGAGCCACTCCATTCCAGCGCCTCCATGGGCACAGCCTACCGGAGAGCGCATCTGAAGCGCTGGTTTCAAATTGGGGTTCCCTTTTGTTGTCACAGTCCTCTAAACCACCCCAAAAGTGGTATCAACTAAAAAAAAACAATTGCAAAAAAAACATGCGGGGGTCTGTCCCAAATGGGGAGGGGGGATCCCTTTCGTTTTGCGCTAAGAAGTCAACCCCACAAAGTGGAATACACACGCCCAGTTTGCAAGAAAACAATCCGGCAGTCTGTCTCAAAATAGCGGGAGGGGCCTTTTGCCCGGAGGATCCTCCCCTTTTTTCAGAAACACCAGCAACACCCCCGACCGCCAGATTCCCGCCAGATTCCCTACCGGCAGGCCATCGGAAATGAGAGCAGTTGGGCTGGGAGGTTCTAGATTGCGCTCTGAAGATGAGACATCCTCTTCGCACCGCTGGTCAGGCGCAGACAAGCCAAAAGGCCCGTTCTCGCGAACCCACCCGGGGTGTTGGGCTGGAGATGTTCTCCTGGCCTCTTTGACGGAAGGACTTCCCGGAACAAAAACCTGTGCAGCCCAGGCTCCAAGCCACTGGCAGAAATATATGTCCGTGCCTTCGGGTCTTCAGGCTGGCACGGGTGAGACAGCTTGGTACTCTCAAATACCTGGGTTGCTTGGCCGTGTGCATCGTTGAGGGGTGAGGCCTTCTTTGATGCGTTCACGCTGCGGATGGATTGTGAATTGCCGTTGTCAATTCGGTCAACATATGGATGGGGAAACCCCTCCAAAAAATGGATGGATTCCTGTTAAGTTCCCTCTAAAAGTGCCCCAAAGTGGGCACGCTCAAAAAATGGCGCACCCACTTTTTGACTACCCCAGACTTAAACCCAGGGGTGTCCCTTGTAAAACAAACCATCCCCTGAGTCTCTCGTCAACAAGTGCCCTATTTTGGGGACCTGGAACCTGCCTTCACAAGAGCCAGGGGACTCGCTCAAGGTCTTGAGCGGTTCAGGATCCGTTCCCGGACAGCTTTGAAGTCTACACCCTCCAAGACCTCTGCACCAGGTGCTACGTTGAAGTGACTTTCCGCGCAGCCGAACGCCACGAAATCCAGATGTCATTTGGACCCTCACCTCTTCGAAAAGCACCCCTCGTACTGGACTCTCCTTTCACACCGCCGTGCGCTTGGTTCCATCACTCGATTTCCATCTGATTGTGACCCTTTAAAAAAGAAGAAGCCCAACTCCGATTTGAGGGTGCTGCCCGAAATTTACATGGCTGTGGCTCAAATGAATGTACAAAACACGGCACCTTGGTAAATGGAACCAAAGACTACAACCTGCGCAACCCAAGCTGTTGAATTTTGAGCCATCCACGTGTGAACTCCCATTTCAGGTCTTTGTAGGCTTCAACAACCGCTACAGAACGGCCCAAACCGCCATCCCAGGTGGCCCTCCCTCGTTCTCCCGCCTCGGGCTGAACCTGTCGGGCGAGGTGCGTTCGACTCCCGAAAGAAAGAAGCTGAGGATTGGGGGGGGTTGGGGGGTTGGGCTGTTTTTTGTCGGGGGTGTTTGGCCGGTTTGGGGGGGGGGGGGGGTTGGCGGGGTTGAGCTCTTTCTTTTGTCCTTTTGTGGGGGAGGGGGGGATGAGCGTTGTTTGAAGGAGGGGTTTGGGGATTTGGAGGGTTTGGAGGCGGGGGGTTGGGGGGTTTGGAAGGTTTGGGCGGTTTGGCGGGTTTGAGTTGGAGGGCGCAACATTTGGGCTGATAGCTCTGAATCTTAATGGCGGAACACCGTAGCAAGACATTCAACCCAAACCATGTCCTTAAATGATTTCCACCACCAAACGGTCCCCAATCAAAAATCAGACCAAATGGAAACATGGGTACTCGGAGTACCTTCATCGTGAGTTTGGGGGTTTGTTCCGAGCTGAAACTCCAAAGAAACATTGGAAGCATGCTGCAGCGGATGACGCGCTTGGAAACCAGAAACCAGCATCAGATGCTGACTGCGATTGAGAACTCGGCTCCTAGTTCTGCGATTCCCCGGCCGCGCTTGACCAGAGTCTTTCTTCCTATGAAAGCAACACAAGTGCTAGCCAGCCTGATATCGTGTTTTGAAGCCCTGATGATCAATGCCCAGACCGCTCTCTTCATTGACGTTCAAACAATGCACCAGAGACAGAGACGGAGGGAGAACAACATACGGAATCCTGTTAGGAAGGGCTTGTCCCGAATCAGCGGAGCGTATTCATTGAAACCTTGTCTTTAGAAAACGATTCTCCTATCGGCTAACCATCAGCAAACTCCCGAAATTCAGCGTTGCCAAATCAGCCAAGCTGCACGGGCTGACTCCATGCCAGGAGTTCTTCGTTCGGTATTAAACAAAAGCTTGGTGCGAGTGGCATTCTGCACGCCACTGGAAGGAATGTCTGCGAATTGTCCCATACAAATAATTACCACTTCTCATACAATACAAGTTGTCCCATACCTCAACAAAAAGCAACGTTAAACGACACGAATTCTCATTTTCCCAAACTTGTCACACACCCCGCAAGTCCCATACCTCAACAAAAAGCAAATGCCACTGGAAAGAATGTCTGCGAAGTTTCTCATACCTCAACAAAAAGCAACGCTAATATACGAGGTCTCATTTTGCCATTTGCCACGTGCCACGCAACGTGCGCAACGCCGCACGCTCGCCTCCATCTGCTCAGGCACTGCCTCCGGCGCACTCTCCGGCACAGCCTGGAGTTGGGATGTTTGAAGCTAGGTGGGAAGAACCGGAGATGAACATCTCAACATTGGAGCCGGAGTTGAGGCATGTTCACGAAAGCCCCAACCCTGTTTGCCATTTGCCAAAAACGGCCTAGTGTGAGTCCATAGTCTATAGTGATACTGCTGCCTGGGGGCATCTTGCATGAATGAGCTCGCCGCTTTTGAATCACGAACAAACACAGCGGATGTTGATATGGGTTTGTCTCAAAATCGGGGACCCAAAAAATAGCGCAACGGTTTCCCTTTTGGTTTCCCTTTGAACCAACTCCAAGAACGGGTCCCAACAAAAGACAGACCCACGTGGCCAACCATCTGGATCCATACCTCGCCTCCGCAGCTTCCGCCTTCAGGGATGGCTGGGAGACAAACGGACCACATACGAAAAGCAAACCTTGGGTCATACACGCGGCAGCTGTGTTGCGAGTTGACGGGTTCCAAAACAGAAGGTTACACGTGTGCTTTCTTGATGGCTTGTGATCCATCTTGGACCCACACAACAACCAAAAAACATGCATGACAAAGGTTGTCTGTAATTTTGTGTGATTTTGCTGACTCTACAGTTTGGTGAGGCACCTCCCCTCCCACGCCCCACTAGTGAAGACCACCAAAACTCCGCTTTTCACTCTTCGAGCCCCTGCGAGCCCCTGCGAGGCGACTCGTTGCGCGCGGAGGTCGAGACCCCGAAGTCATGAGTCATAGTCCAAAACCAATCGGTCAATTGGTCGACCCATGTAACGAATCAAAATGGCGGATAGCCATTTGGCCCATTTTAGGGCAAGGGGACTATTCTCTAACCCCCACACACCCGACTTGGTTTTGAGGACGTGGCTCAAATGTTTGTCATCGAGATCCGAGTCCACGCCTGAGTGGTCTCCTTCTCAGCCACTTCCGCCTGGCGCCGGAAGAGAATGTTGAGGTCGAAAACGCGCCAACTGACAAGGGATCCGGAGTTGTTTTGGGAGCGTTTGCCGTTGTTGGTTGGGAAAAAACCCTAAAGAGAAACGGAAGAAAACAGCCCTCCCTTAAAAGGCCCTTCCTCGTTCTGAAGGCAATCAGCAGCACAGAATGCGCTTACACTTCGCAGCTCTGCGGCCGAACTCACGGCCTCCATCTTTGCCTTTTCGGCCGCTTCCGCCTGAGCCATGCTCAAAAGACGGGTTTGCCTGACTAGTTGGGGATGCTCTCCCAGGGCCAGGCAGGGCTGGCAGAGCATCAATCATCGATCAAGTGGGTGTGTCAAATTCCCTTTGGTTTCCCCTTGAGACCATCTCAAGACGGGTACCCTCAAAAAAGACTTCACCTCCTGCCAACGTCAACTTTGGACTCGATACAGTTTGAGCTTCAGAACCGCAGCGATGAACCACGCCTCGATCCTTGCTTTCTGGGCCTCTTCTGCCTGAGCCAGAACGCCCTGCCAGACTGGGAAGTTAGGCCACCACGGAAACTCTGCGAAAGGCTCACACCGACTCAGGGATCTTAGCTTCTGTTGTCATCACATGAAACTCATCGAGGCCCATGTCTCCTGCATTATTTGACGACAAGTTGTTAGGCAATCTAGGATCGCGCCTCGATCCTTGCCTTCTCAGCAGCTTCCGCCTGAGCAAGAAATTGAGCGCGGGACTGACCTGGGTGTTTGAGCCCCGCCAAAAGTGGGAGAATCAAACATTGTCCAAAAGGTTTACTCCCATACAAATGAACATGGAACCCAACTCTAAGAATGGCGGGGTTTTGGGATCTGCAGGAGTGCAACGATTCGAACCCGCTCCTTCCACAGCTGGCGACGCCTCAAAGGCTGAAGTAGGCCCAAATGGTCCGAATCGGGGAAGTCCAGCCGGACCCCCTCCCTTTTGATTACCTTCCAAGCACAAAGCAAGGTAAAGCTTGCCGTGTTTCGTGCTACAAGCGTCATGGTCCAAACCTAAAAGGCCTTCCCCTACAGTCCTTGGTGTGCTTCTGGTCTCCGTTTCAATACCCACCAAGACTTGCTGGTGCTCGGCAGGGAGGAGAAATGGAATGACCCCAAGAAACACCATCCAGGCGGTGTCCTCTTTTCGGGGAGAAGAAAGCCTGAGCCTCTGGGTTCATTCCATTATCTACCGATTTATGGCACCAACCTCAAGAAAAGGAGTGCAACCATAGGTGGCCTTTTGGAAACATAGATGGCCCTGGCAAACGGAACAAAACCCATCTAAACCAGTGCCATCTATTTTTAACCAGGCTCACCTAAAAAGGACTGTCCGGCGCCTCCAGCTTCGCCTGCTCGGCCTCCGCCTGCCACTTTCCGCGAAAGAGTCGCGGGTGAACCAAGGCAAGGGGGTGGCTTGGCCCGCCTTCGGCTCATGGCATAAAGAATCGGCTGGTTGACGTGTTTCCAGGAAGCCCAAATGGCATCCCAGAATTGTCTGGCTAAGAATGGGTCGGTTGCCTCATTTAAACATTCTTTTTCCCGAGAACTAAAAACTATGGCCGGGGTGCTGCGGGGCGGCTCTGAGGTAGGGCTGGTGCCAGCTCTTGCCGGCCGAGGTCCCCTGAGCATAACTTATACCTCACCCAGCCCCCCCTTCCCCCCTTTGCTGTTCCGCATGATGGGAAACAAAGCTTTCACACGGGAGTGAGGGTCATCATCTGCCTCTCAAACCATTCTTCAGAAACTGCGCCAGGAAATTTGCTCGTGAGGCCCACCCGACATTGGCAAAACATCTGACCAACCGCTTAGACATTGGCAAAACATCTTACCAACCACTTAGGCTGGGTTCCTATTCTCAGGTCACCAAATGCCTGTGGGTCAAAAATGGGTACCCAAAATAGAAGCCTGGTCAACGGAACCAAGGACTCAAATCTGCGGTCCTTTGGTGGTTTAGCTTTGACCCACACCCAAATCAGCTCAACGACCCAACCCCTGGCGCATCCATGCCTCCGCCTTGGCCTTCGCCTCTGCCTTCGCCTGAAACGTCCCAGAACCGCGCGCCCGGCCGATGCACATGTCTTAGTGCCTTGTCCCACCGATTCAAAACAAAAAACAGGCACCAGAGCCCTGGAACATACCCCCCTTGACAACTTTAAGGATAAGACAAAAACGCAAGAGCAAATAAGCTCTAAAACAAGTTGTAGCAGTTGTTTGTGTATAGGTTGGCCGCACTAGCTAGAAAGTGGGACAAAGTGCCGCTAAGACTAAGTGCACGTCTGCAAATGGAATCCTGTCAGTCAATGTTGAATCCTACAAGGACTGATCGAGCTATCGTCTTGTTCGTGGAATAGCTAGTCAATTGACTAGCAGATCTAGCCATCAGACAAAGGCCCTGGGTTGGTCTTAACTTAGTCGAGTAGCATCTTTCTGTGGGCAAACTCGCCTTTCCACCCCCCCTTTTGATGCACTCCAAACTTGAACCATCGCCCATGTAGAAACCTTTCCTCTTGGTCAACTGCCCAACTGATCGCAGCAGAACGGGCTGCTCGAAAACGACTCACGTCTGCCTCAACAGCCGTGTTGTCAAACAGTTGTGCTGAAAGCTTGTGCTTTCTTGCACAGCCGTGCGAGCGACCGTCTTTTCCTTTGTTGAAGCTAAAGTTTTAGGAACACCTAAGCACAAGACAACCACTGGACAACTGCCATTGGGCCAGCGATGAAAAAGGCCAGAAAACGGCTCTGCCTGGCGCGTCGGAGCATGTCGGGTTGAGTTCGCTACAAGCAATACAAGTCAAAGGAAAATGATTTTGTCGTGCCCAGTTTCGGGGCGAAAACACGCCCCAATGTGGTGTGTCGATCTAGGGAAGCCCCCTTTTTGGCTGGGTTTGAGAGGGACACCAAATGGAAACTAAACATTTTGGGAGGTCCCCTCATTTTGAGACACATGGATCATTTTAGTGGTAAATCAAAAGTTTCGGAAGTGGGACTGACGGGTTTAAGGATTTGGTGCCCTCGTGATTGTCCAATTGGGATTATAGATTCGGATTGGAATTCCAACACTAGCCCTTAAAAAAACACTCCAAGTGGTTACCGAAATAAGGTTGACCCCCCATATTCATGGGGCCCTCTCCAAAAGTGGTCTGAATCCCCACTTTTCAGGGAGAAGAACCCCTATTTACAAACAGGTCGCCCTGAGAAGCTGAAAAAAGCTAAGGTGATGGCTGAGAGCCACCAAGCAAGCTATCCCAAATTTCGCACCGCGACGGCTCCCTCGGGACTGCGCGCTTGGGGCGCTCGGGCGCTGCGCCTCCGCAGCGAGCTCGCGGAGCCGCTTCGCGGAGAGGCGGTCCTGCGGCAAGGCGATCCACGTGCGAAATGCCCGGGTCGGAGTCAGGGGATCACTGGATTCAGACCAGCGGGAAACCATGGGACACGGGATGTCCAACTCAAAAGCCGCCACTTTTGGAGAAAGGGAGATGAAAGCATGAAGAAACCCTGTAACTTGCAGTCAGTGGTGACTGGCGGTATACAGTGAAACTGCCACTTGAGATCCAAAAAGAATGGAAAATGCAAATTGTGTGGGAAAGCTAGGTTTTGCTGGGGGGGGGTTAACTTGAGGGTTAACTGAGAGAAAATATTGGTGCTGTCTGTTTTGTGCCAAGGACAAACAGCAAAACAATCTGCTGCCGTGGCTGATACAGGCCAGCTGAAGCAACTAGCCACAGCTCAGTGGTGGTACCCAAATGGTAGTGTTGCGCGGGATGGCCACACAAGGATCAACAAAATGGCTGCACCACAGCTGGCTGGCAAATGGCTAGGGTTGCCTGCTTCAAAGGAGAACATCCAAACTTCTCTTAAAGTAACTACAAGTCCCAGAGGCTGCCTTGCCCGAGGCTGAGATCGTTCCGTGTGTCCAAATCTTATGCAGTGGCGTCCCTTGTCGCTGCGTGGGTGTCGGCTGGTTGAGGCCTGGTTCGCTGCCATCGGGGGGGCGCCCGTTTTTTTGCGCGGAGTTCATCGCACGATTTGCGCCTCCTGCCAGCACGCGTGAAACAGCTGATTCCACCGCTCCCAGGGCAAGCACTCGAGCTCCTAGCTATCCTTACATGGGAGCAAAAAGTACATTCCTGGCCTGAAGTGAACGAACGTTCAACTTTACAAAACTGAAGCTTCTAAGGCATGCAAAGCCCAGGGAGCTAATTTGGGTTTGCACTTTCAATGCACAAGGGAAGCACCGCGGTGAAAATCCAATCGCGCGACGGAGATGATCTGCAAGGCTCTCAAGCCAGAAGTGCCAGTCTGGCAGTGGCTGAAAAGCCAACGCGCATATTGACATCACGATGTTGATCCCCATGCCTGTGAAGAATCGTGTACATTCTTGCTGGTGTCACGTAGTTCCTTGTGCCACGGTTGACTTGCACAAGCTTTGCCTGCTGCTGCTATGCAGCAGGGGTGACAACGAATACGGCACAGTTTGGGTGAATACTCGCTGGAGCCCCTCACTCAACAGGCCTCGGTCTCGCTCTCAGTGAGTGCAACTTCCACGAGGATTCGCTGCCCGGCTCTCGGCGAGACGTCTGAGAGTCGCTCTACTTCAAAGCCTTACTTTGCATGGCCACGTGTCATGAGAAATTCAGTTGCCACGCTCCTGGGGGGTGGGGGGGATCCTACAAGGTCAACCGCCAAGACTCGGCATAGCACCAAACAACAGACCACTGCAGGGTGATATGATGTTATATTCCATTGATCGGTGTTGACGCAGGTGGGCAAGGTGCACTATTGTCAGTCAACACACCCGAACTGCTTCTTGCTGCCAGTATGGAAGGCAAGGCTTCGCGTTGCCATAGCAAAACAAAGCGCTTCCGCGAACCGGCACCTTGGTGAACAAAAGTCAACAGAACCCTCAAACCGGACTTTTTTCTGGGTCTAAACACCTAAGTGGAACCGCACGATTCACCGGTTTGGTTCCACATCCGTCGCTTCACCCAAGCCGCAGCCGCCCGCTGAGCCACCGCACTCATGGCACTTGCCCACCAACTCAGGAGGCATCGTCCAAATGAGGATGGCGCCCTCGCGAGGCGCAGACACGCGGAGACTGATGGTGTTGTTTTGTTTCCGAAGCTCAGCTTGCCACGAAAACGGGGGTTTGGAGCCAGGAGTGGAATCGGCGGTTTCCTGACGTGGGGGGGGGACGGGGGGGGGGGGGGGGCAAATCCCATGTACCCACAAGAGCCAGTCAAATCCGAATCCAAACCACCAATCCAAACCACCAATTAGGGGCTACCTGAAAAGCCTCCTTGATTCATTCGTTGGTAGCAACAAGCAAAAAGACAAACGCCATTAGGGAACCCAAGGACAAGGACTGAAAAACAACCCTCTTTCTCATGAGTGCTCGTTTGTGAAAAAATCCAAATATAATTTGATATAAGTTGTGCTCAGTTGTGAAAAACAAACCTGTTTTTTACTTGAACTAACTTGATCAATATGTTTGGTTTCCGGAGTAAACCAAGGGCGTGGAAGAAAACGGACAGGGAAACATGTGTGTGTGTGTGTTACAGAGGATGCAACAAAAACTGAGAAGAAAAACATGGCGCTGTGTCCTTTGTGCGTTTCGCACAACCCTAAAGAACCTAGAAGCAAAGGCATCCAGTTTTTGGCAGCCAAGGGGGGCACAACTGCACATCCGCGACCGCCAGTCAAGACAGCAATTTTCATTCAGGAGACCGCGTAATGCAATCCAAACTGTATGCTTGTCCGAACAAAAAGTAAACGCGAGCCGCCCACACGGCCCCGTGGAAGCCCGCCTCAGAGCCGGTGGAAACAACGAAGGACTGGTCCGGGCTGATCGCGGCGCAGGTGATGCTGCCACTGTGCCCCACCTCGGTGGTCTGAGTGCAGTGGGGAATGACCTTCCCGATGAGAATGAACCGGTTTTGGGGAGTGTGTTGAAGGAAACCACAGGGCGCTTTGTCTCAAAATAGAGGATGTAGGCTTCGGTTTTCCTTCAGAAGCAAGCCCAAAACGGGCAGCCTGCAAACAAGAAACAACCACATACGAGCAGGAGTGCTGGTCAAAAGCAATTCGCCAAAGACCCAGCCAAAGACCCGGTGCCGAAGACCCGGAGGGCCAAGTCTCTTGCCATGTTTGCAAAAGCGGCATCCAGAGACTCGACTCCGGACCTGGGGCACGGGCCCCGATGTACTCCGAGACGCCCTTGTCCTTAGCCAACCACGGGTCTATGTCCAAATATTTGGCACGCACTTGGACCCCAAAAGTGGACGTGTTGCCCTCCAGCACACACGTACACACACACACATACACACACAAAACACACACATACACATCTCAGTTATCATAGACCTAACACATGTCGGTTGCCGTGAGTGGGCACATTGCAACCGCGCGTTGCAAAAAACACGACCAAAGCGCTTCTTTGCCTTGCGCGGGGGGAGGGTCGGCAACCGCACCGGTGTGTCCCAAAGGGAGTGTTGCCTTCAACACGAATCCCATGACAAGTCGTCTTTTCCTCAGCATCGGACCATGCGAAAAGAACGCGGGTGAACTCTGGCCGTAAAGTTGACACCCCGGCAGCGGCACCACTGCTTTCCAGTGGAAAACCTACTTCATTGGAAGGTGCCGTTTGGCCAATTCAAGTTGCGAACTGAAGTGGCGAAAGTGCCCTTCCAAGATGCTACTACTCTCGCCTTCGATGCTTCCGAGATGGCTCGGCAATGGGCAGTTAGCGTTTAAAGGAAATGGCAAAGGCCAGCTGGTTGGATATGTGGGGTATGTCTTTTACCCCCAGAATGGCGGTGTTTCCTGTTGCTGTCCCTAGACCACCAAAAAAGGGGTAGCCTCAAAAAACGCAACCACGCCCAGATCAAGAAACTCTTGGCCGCTGGAGTGAATCAAGCGGATCTGGGTGGAATGTGCAGCCACATGGCGCGGGGTACCTTTTGGGTTTGCTTTGAATGGGAAGCCAAAGGAAACGAAAGAGAGGTCCGAGCCATTTTGTGGAGTTCCCTTTCAAGAACCCCCCATGCTTGCATGCTTGAAGGGGGCATGCATGCCAAGCTAGCCGCAGCAACACGCACTCGTGCTAGCGAAGCCTCTTCCTCAACATGCTTCCTGTGACTTCTTGGCGAATCTCCCTTGTCCCCCAGCTTGATGCAACTTGATGGACATTCATAGGGTCCAGTAAACAAGGGATGACCATTGGTTGGAAAACCACGTTCAAAGATTTGATCTGTCAACGGCTACTCCGGACAAAAGTTACCCATGGTCACTTGGGCGCCAAAAAACAAACTGAAGATTCAGACGAAACCGCAGACGTCTTTCGCCCACACGTGCCACTCGCGCCGAACCGAGCGTCGTAGTCCCAGAGCTTCACGAGCCGCTCCTCCCCGCCGGAGACGTAGTGGGATCCGCTCTTCCTCGGAGAAAAAAAACGAAGGAAAACACACTAGGTGTATTTCCAAGATGTACTTTCCAGGCGTCCTTCCCAGGAACTGTTTTTCTTCCAAGAAGGTTAGCACTTCCCAGGTGTACTCCCTAGGTGCACTTCCCAGGTGTACTTCCCAGGTGCACTTCAGGTGCACTTCCCAGGTGCACTTCCCAGGAGTATTTGAAAGATGTGCTTCTCAAATGAGCTTTCCCATTTAGCGGGTTCACTCAACCAGCTAAAAACTAAGGGAAATGAAGGCGGTTCCGCCGGCTGCCATGTACACCTCCCCTCTGGGCTGGCTAAATTCGGATGCCCCTGCTAAAAGTGAATAACTTTTCGTGGGTGACATGGAAACCCCCGCTAAACCAACTAAAAACCCACAAAACGAAGGAACCGGAAGGCTGGTTCCGAACCGGCAAGCCCCGATGCATTCCTCGTATGGCTCCTTTTTCGTGGTTGAACCCATAAAACAGCGACCCACCAATCATAGGTGACCTCAAAAAAAGCAGATGGCCCTGATAAATGGGGCATAGCCTATCTGATCTAAGCCAGCAGAAACCATCAAAAGGGCACCTATCAATCCAAAACTCCTCTCGCAGCCTTACATCTACATCAAAATGAAATATCTGCACGGGCCACGTCCATAGATCCAAACGATGCCAGTTTAGGGACCCAATGTCCTTTCCGCGCAAAAAGGATGCAACTGACTGGAGGTCTCAGGTACAGCCACATGGATTAAACTCTTTACCCAAGCCCGTGACCTCCACACGTTCTTTTCCAAGCGGGTCCAATCCACTTGAAGCCCCATCCCCAGTCACCAAAATAAGAAGACGGCCAATGCGGCGTGCCTTGAAGCCAAGGTGAAAAGGGGCAACTCGAAAAAAGACACACTAAACCCGGAGTGG